CTTTAATCTCTTTGGAAATGCTCTCCATGAAAAGTATTGTTATAAATTTTGCAATCTCATAAAAATTAGAGCTTATACGACTGCAGATTCTGCTATCAACAGCCATCGATTCTTTACCTTTCTTCTACAATTCTATTTCAGGCTTTTAGTGCCTCTAGCTTCGGTGATACCTGCCTGGCCCACTTACTCACCTACAACCGGTTTGCCGATGGAGTTCTTGGTATGTCTTGGATGGCTTCTCCAGAGCTGCACCATCAAGGGGGCATCTGCTCCAAACCACGTGGGTTTAGTCTTTTCTATTCTTTTGGAGTTTTTTGGAGACATAGTTACACGTAGACCAAATCATCACCCTCATTTCCTGTAATCACTAAATAGACATTGTACCAGAAGGCGCGTTCTCTTAGACCTCCATGAACCCTATGGTAAATTTTTCTGCCTATCAGCTTATGACACTAGTAAACACGCTAGTTTACAGAAGTGGTTTGATCTCGTTTTTGCAGCCTGGCCGTATTCTTAGGGAGGCCCTAACCTTTTCAGCAGTCCTCTATTGTGATAGTCGTAATAAGTTCCAGCCTCGAATCATGAACTCGGTTCATTCCAAGACGTTTCGCCGGCATCGTCATGAGTCTTGTCAGTTTTAGCACCAAACTATATATGGTAAAATAGACACTTGGTCAACTCTCTGCCAAGCCTTTGTGTTCTCTCCTCTATTTTGGTACATTCACCTATCTCATATCTTTTAATCACAACTTTTAACTTGCTTATTTTAACCTATTCCAGGTGTTTTTGAGTGGATTTTTCTTACCTATTTAAACTCCCCGCTGGTTCTTTCATTCCCTCCATTGCGTTGGAAATGTTGATAGAAATTGGCCTTTACAGTCTCCATTACCTTAACCATGTCCTATCAGTCTTCCTATTGCCCTGGAAGATCCATTTCTTATCTTCTCGGCTCAATGGTTTTACTTGATTACTGCCATCACATCTGTGCTACTATTGGTCTTATTTGCCATGACCCACTTCAAGCGTTTGATTGCAGGTATACTACAGCTCTACCGAGATTACTCAAAACCTGGATTATCAAGCTGGATAAGACATTTCCATAAGATATTGTCTCCTCTCTTATCTCAGTTCGGTCTATGTAACGGTTAAATATCGTGGTCAGGCTTTTACTTCACGTATTACTTCTATAATCAAATCCATGTACTATGAGCCTAATGGCAATACGCCCTAGTAGATAAAGCGAGGTCATACTATAGTTACACAGCGAAAGGGGGACATGACCAAAATAAGGTCACACCATCTTAGTCTTCATACCCTCGAGACTAGTGTACCTTGACAAATCTTTTTGACTTTTGACCCATTTTCAAAGGCTCATCTACCTTATAATGACCTTATTTGTTTCATTGAAAGATTTTTAATGCTTTATACAAGGGAGGTGCTTCTTACTCATTTCCTGCGTTGGGTCTGATGACAATTTTGTATTTTGCCTTCTACTAAGCATATTTTCATGATTTATTGTATATGTCAACTTCTGCTTAAACTTTTCTTCCACACAAATTGTCAAGTTAGCGAATGCTCTAATAGATTATCGTCTTTCTCAGACGTTTTACCGATACCATCAATAATTGGCCATTCTCATGTCCCTTTAGCAAGTTGTAGCTTGGTGCTGAGAATAGCAAGGATTACTGATGATGTCAGCGAGACGTCTGGGAATGTACCAAGTACATGATCCGACGCTATGAATTAGGATAACCACTATAGCAGAGAACTTCGGACGAGGTACGTCCAACTAAGTCCCTCTAACAACATGACCAAGTTGTCAGAACGAGGTCAGATCGCTTCTATATATCAAAAGGAGATTGCGATTGAAACAGAGGTCACAACCTCTTGGTATTCATATCTATCGTCTTTATTGTCTATTTTTCTGTAAAATCCCTTATATATAATTTGACGATAGGCATTAAGGTCACTAATCTTGATGATCTATAATTATTTTTATCTGTGCCAAT